ATTTGAAAGTTTTGAGTAAAAAAAAAGGCAGGATGAGATTATTTGCAAAATAAAAGGCAGGATGACAATTTAGTTTAATGAAAAAGTCAGGATAAACTAAAAAAAAAAAGGCAGGACCGAATAGAGTGAAAAATAAAAAGGCAGGACCGAATAGAGGGAAAAACTAGAGGCTCTCAAGAGCCTGTGTCGCTCACCTGATTCTACTTTGGTTTTGGAAATCATGTTAAAATAGATTAAAATCATAACAGATACCCTAATAATGAGTGAGGCCAAATTTGGTTTAATATTGGCCCTGTAAGTTAATAAAAAATCCTGGTGGCCATCTTGAACAGTAAATCAGCAACAAAGTAGCAACACTTCATCAGTACCTCATAAGAAACTATTATGCCATGTTTGGTTTCATTCCATTCAGTGCACCTCTAGAAGAAGCATTTGTATGTATTTCCAATATGGTCTTGTGTTAAAGGAAGTCCCCCCGCTGGCAGCCATCATGGATGAAGGATCAGCTTCAAAGTAACAACACTTAGTCAGCACCTCATAAGGAACATTCATGCCATGATTGGTTTCAATCCATTCAGTGGTTCTGTAAAAGAAGACATTTGTATGTATTGTCCGTAGGGTCCTTTGTTAAACACTGTCCCCAGCTGGTGACCATCTTGGGTGATGGAATGGCTTCAAAGTAACAACACTTGGTCAGCCCTTCATAAGGAACATTCATGCCATGTTTGGTTTCATTCCATTCAGTGGTTCTCTCAAAGAAAACATTTGTAAATATTTTGCATAGGGACCTGTGTTAAACTAAGTCCCCCGCAGGCGGCCATCTTGGATGATAAATCTGCTTCAAAGTAACAACACTTAGTCAGCACCTCATAAGGAACATTCATGCCATGATTGGTTTCAATCCATTCAGTGGTTCTGTAAAAGAAGACATTTGTATGTATTGTCCGTAGGGTCCTTTGTTAAACACAGTCCCCAGCTGGTGACCATCTTGGGTGATGGAATGGCTTCAAAGTAACAACACTTGGTCAGCCCTTCATAAGGAACATTCATGCCATGTTTGGTTTCATTCCATTCAGTGGTTCTCTCAAAGAAAACATTTGTAAATATTTTGCATAGGGACCTGTGTTAAACTAAGTCCCCCGCAGGCGGCCATCTTGGATGATGAATCTGCTTCAAAGTAACAACACTTAGTCAGCACCTCATAAGGAACATTCATGCCATGTTTAGTTTCATTCCATTCAATGGTTTTCTAAAAGAAGACATTTGTATGTATTTCCCATAGGGTCCTATGTTAAATAAGTCCCCCGATGGCGGCTATCTTAGATGATGGATCGGCTTCAAAGTAACAACACTTGGTCAGCACCTCATAAGGAACATTCATGCCATGTTTGGTTTCATTCCATTCAGTGGTTCTCTCAAAGAAAAACATTTGTAAATATTTTGCATATGGACCTGTGTTAAACTAAGTCCCCCGCAGGCGGCCATCTTGGATGATGAATCTGCTTCAAAGTAACAACACTTAGTCAGCACCTCATAAGGAACATTCATGCCATGTTTGGTTTCATTCCATTCAATGGTTTTCTAAAAGAAGACATTTGTATGTATTTCCCATAGGGTCCTATGTTAAAATAAGTCCCCCGATGGCGGCCATCTTAGATGATGGATCGGCTTCAAAGTAACAACGCTTGGTCAGCACCTCATAAGGAACATTCATGCCATGTTTGGTTTCATTCCATTCAATGGTTTTCTAAAAGAAGACATTTGTATGTATTTCCCATAGGGTCCTATGTTAAATAAGTCCCCCGATGGCGGCTATCTTAGATGATGGATCGGCTTCAAAGTAACAACACTTGGTCAGCACCTCATAAGGAACATTCATGCCATGTTTGGTTTCATTCCATTCAGTGGTTCTCTCAAAGAAAAACATTTGTAAATATTTTGCATAGGGACCTGTGTTAAACTAAGTCCCCCGCAGGCGGCCATCTTGGATGATGAATCTGCTTCAAAGTAACAACACTTAGTCAGCACCTCATAAGGAACATTCATGCCATGTTTGGTTTCATTCCATTCAATGGTTTTCTAAAAGAAGACATTTGTATGTATTTCCCATAGGGTCCTATGTTAAAATAAGTCCCCCGATGGCGGCCATCTTAGATGATGGATCGGCTTCAAAGTAACAACGCTTGGTCAGCACCTCATAAGGAACATTCATGCCATGTTTGGTTTCATTCCATTCAGTGGTTCTCTAAAAGAATACATTTGTATGTATTTCCCATAGGGTCCTATGTTAAACTAAGTCCCCTGCAGGCGGCCATCTTGGATTATGGATCCACTTCAAAGTAACAACACTTGGTCAGCACCTCATAAGGAACATTCATGCCATGTTTGGTTTCATTCCATTCAGTGGTTCTCTAAAAGAAGTCTTTGTATGTATTTCCCTAAGGGTCCCATGTTAAACTAAGTCCCCCGCTGGCGGCCATCTTGGATTATGGATCGGCTTCAAAGTAACAACACTCGGTCAGCACCTCATAAGGAACATTCATACCATGTTTGGTTTTATTCCATTCAGTGGTTCTCTAAAAGAAGACATTTGTATGTATTTCCCATAGGGTCCTATGTTAAACTAAGTCCCCCGCTGGCGGCCATCTTGGATTATGGATCGGCTTCAAAGTAACAACACTCTGTCAGCACCTCATAAGAAACATTCATGCCATGTTTGGTTTCATTTCATTCAGTGGTTCTCTAAAAGAAGACATTTGTATGTTTTTCCCATAGGGTCCTATGTTAAACTAAGTCCCCCGCTGGCGGCCATCTTGGATGATGGATCGGCTACAAAGTAACAACACTTGGTCAGCACCTCATAAGGAACATTCATGCCATGTTTGGTTTCATTCCATTCAGTGGTTCTCTAGAAGAAGTTCAAAATGTAAAAAGTTAACGCTGACGACGGACGCCAAGTGAGCTAATAAAAAGGCAGGACAAAATTGTTCATCCTAGCCCCCCCTTCAAAATCAAATGGTAGCTCCCTTAGAATCATCACAGCGTTTGTAACACACGTGGTTTTCAACGTATTAAGTACCATCATTGTTTCCGTTTCTTTCCCCTCCCCAAAAAGTACCTTTCATGTTAAAAATGTCTGACAATCAAAATATACGTGAATAAACTGTACAATAAAGACAGCAAAGGTCAGCAAAAAATCTGGGATTTGTTGACAATTAAAATTTTGTGAAATTCCTAGTTTTAAACAAAATTTTGACTAGCCCGTCAGACTACTGTGATGAAAACTTTACTAGCCCTCCCCAATATTTACTAGCCTCGGGCTAGCGGACTAGCGTTAGTGTCGAACCCTGATGATTATTCCGTTTGGGTTATTTTGGGAGGAAAACGAAAATAAAGGCGTCCGGATATTGCATCGGACGGACTTTTAACTCATAGACAAGACTTCCGTTTAGGACTGTTTAAAATTACACATAATTTTCATAGGTACTTGGGGACAGGACAACTATTTTCATGTTTTTTTTCTGTATACTATGAACATACATATATTATAAATAAAGTGTATTTGCTATTTACTATCAATTCCAAGTTTACTTTCTACGGCAGTCACTGATATATTATGTAGAGAGTTTCTTGGAATTGATAGTAAAATAGTAAATACACTTTATTTACAGTATATATATGTTCATAGTATTAGAAAACGAGAAAATAATTGAAATTAACAGAAAACAAAAAATAACGGATTTTGAAAAAAGGGAGGGCTAAAAAAAAAACTGTCCTGTTCCCAAGTACCATGGGGGGTCTCTTCCTATATGAAGGTATATACATATGTGCCGCTGGAATGGGTCCCTTTTTTGATACGTCAAATATATCAATGGGGTGCAATTTTACCGAGGAAATATATCAATAGGTAGTACTTGACCAATTGTGATATATCAATGAGTCATAATTTTTCAGTTTGTTGTGCAACGATCTTCACTGAATTTCCCAAACTGTTTGTCATTAAAATTGCATATAGGTACTATTTGAGCTGATAAATATATGTATGTGTTATGATTTCGCTGTGAAATATATGTAAAGGTAGAGATTTCACAATATTCAATATATGAATGGGGGCTGTTTTTTAAATCCCAGCTGCACAACTGTACCCAAAATCCCATGTTGAGACCCCCCCCCCCCCCCGTACCAAGTACCTATGACTTTTGATACCTTTCCTGAAATTCTCCAGTCATAAAATCTTTTACAAAAATTCATCCTACAACAGTTTACATACTTTCAACCACGCTCTAAACAAGGATTCTCACTATACAAATCCTTGCTCTAAATGCCCGTGATTTCGCGGGTGTGTTCTAGTATAATTAAAATTACAATGTAAAAAGTTTTAACCAAAATTTATACAAAACAGAAGAAAAAGAAAATTACTTTGAACTTTTATTTGTATATATTTATCTGTAAATAGAAATTATAAATCCCACGCACGCTCGGCATAGTCTAATGTCAGTGACATCAGTGCCCGTCACGTTATCATCAGTATGTTGATTGAGTGCTGAATTATAAAGAAGAAGAAGATAACTTTGAAGAATAAGTTTATTCTAAGGATCAATTAGTTTACATGGATCATATTTAAATTTACAGGGCAGTAAAGCCAGTAATGGCAGTAAATTATGCCAGTATGCTTTACTCTGGAACTGATTTTCTTCAACTAAATGTGGATTACTCTTGAGACCTCACCTTCTTTTTTAAAAGGGCCATGGATCAATGATAGTGTTGATATAGTGCGGTAAAATCTGATGTCTGCTTTAGATGAAGCTTCTTCAACTTTGTGAACTAACATTCCCCCTCCCCCTTTTGGCTTTTCCCAAAAAACAATCCCAAAGGATAACATTTCATTTTTGTCAAATTTTCCGAGCATTTTATAGATAAATATGTAACGCAATTATACTATTTCATAACAAACTTCATAACTGAACCTGTCATCAGATTAAAATGCAATGTTTTGTCACCTCATGTTCAATCGGGTCGTCTTCTTCGTCCGACATTGTTTCTACTGTTATACTCACAGGGCATAAATTAAATATTGCTGATCCCTAATCTGATTTAAAAGAAATATTTTTTTATTAATATATATTAATTTCTGTGATAATCATTATTTCGTTGGTTTTACATTTTGTATATGAATCTGATAAGCCTTTTTGTATTAAAAACAAGAAATTGCGATTTGTTTGAACCAAGGATTTGTACAAATCCTTGTTTGAATAAGAATTATTTAGTTACGAATTTGTTTGTTACTTGTTTGTTAAGAATTATTCAGTGGAGGATTATGCCAGGCAATGGGTTAAACGCGAGAAAGAGGACGTAGATACTCTTTCTGAATGGATTAATGCTGTGAGGTCGTAGATACAAATCAGAATTAAGAAACTGAATGGTCTATTAATACCCATGCTACATCAATCTTTAAACATGGACCCAAATGTTGCAAAACACTTGTCATGCCTCCATGACAAATATGTTGTTGTCCCAACAGATAAAGCCCCAAACAACATCGTTTTTGTGTGTTAATGACATTACATATAAATAAGAAGATTTCACAATGTGTAAAAAGTAAACAATTATAGGTCAAAGTACGTCCTTCAACACGGAGCATAAACTGCTTGATAAATGAATTAGGTATTGACAATTCACTTGGAAACTCAACATATACCCCCACGACACTTACTAAAGAGGGAATCCTGGATAATCACAGAGGCGGATTTAGGGGGGGGAGGGGGCCCGGCCCCCCTTTTTTTGGAAAAATTTGGTTGATTATATAGGGAATCACTGAAGCATGACTGGAGCGGACCCCCTGTTAGGCAGACAGTGGGCCCCCACTTATGAAAATTTCTGGATCAGCCACTGAATCATAGGTCTCAGTGTTCTATGTTCCTTTGGAATTTCAACCAAAGATGAAGAACTGGATCTTCCATCACTGTATTGGATACCTAAACTACATAAGTGTCCTTACAAACAACGGTATATTGCTGGGTCTTCCATGTGCTCCATGAAACAGCGTTCTAAATTAATTTTTAACATAAATTTTATCAGCAATCAAAGCCGAACTTCAAAGTTATTGTGAAACTACCTATTCTAGAGGTGGCGTGAATCAGATGTGGATACTAAAAAATTCCAAAGATCTTATAGAGTACATACAATCTAAGATTCTTTAATCTTGCAATAGTATAATACTATAATCTTAGGGCCGTAAATTGCCTGCTATGTAAGTGGAAGCAGTTGAGTATCAATCTTTTTTTTTTTGACCCATTTTATGCAGACCAGTTTCAACCTCGCATTTTATTCCTCAGACTGATATGGCGAGACAGCAGGATTTGTAACATGCCCGAGAATGCGCCACAGGAAAATCCCGTGCTACAAAATTGGCGGGAAAGGAGTTGGGTACCGTTCAGCGATATTTACCAGATCTAAATATCGAACACACCCTGCCATTATGATTAATCACCTTGTTGGTTAAACTATAACAACCAGTGCTATTAAAATAATGTATGATTTTAACCAATTTTTTACTTTTCTGTTTTTTTTCTTTATTTTTTCTTTTTTTTTTGTCAGCCCGCAATAGGAGGCAACTGCCTACATGCCTCCATGTAATTTACGGCCTTAGCTGGTATTAAAACATTTAACTTTTCTACAATTTACACAATATTCCCCATTCCAAACTAAAAGACAAATTAAAAGAGTTGGTCCTGCTTTGTTTCATAAAATAAGAATGGCCAACGTAGATACAAGACTTAAAGTATCTTGTGCTAGGGAGGGATAAATCCTACATTGTACAAAATTACTCTGAATCCCACAAAAAATTCTCTGAAACAGACATTAGAGAGCTACCATTTAATTTTTTTTTGGGGGGGGGGGGGGGGGGGGGGGGGGGCTAGGATGAAAAATGTTGTCCTGCATTTTTTTTTAGTTGTAAGTCTGTCCTGCATTTTTATTTTTCACTCTATTCGGTCCTGCATTTTTTTCTTCTTCTTCTTCCATATACTGCCCACATTCAACTTTCTGAATATACTGGCAACATTATTATTATATCCTGACTTTTTTTACATAAATTGTCATCCTGCATTTTTTTTTTGCCAAGTTGCTCATCCTGCCTTTTTTTTTACTCAAAACTCCTGTCCTGCCTTTTTTCAATATTCATCATAGCCCCCCCCCCCCCCCTCCCCCCATAAAAATCAAATGGTAGCTCCCTTATCAAGATGCCTCATTTCTTTATTGACAACATATTTGTTACGTTTGGAGGACGTGTTTTTCACCAACAATCGGCATATTCCCATGGGAACAAACTGTGCGGCCTCTTCTTGCCTACTTGTTCCTTTATTCATATGAGGCTGACTTTATACAGGAACTTTTAGGAAGAAAGAAAAGAAGTTAGCAGCATCCTTTAACTTTACTTTCCGCTATATAGATGATGTTCTCTCGCTAAATAATTCAAAATTTGGTGACTATGTTGAACGCACTATCCCATCAAACTTGAGACAAAGGATACAACAGATACAGTTAGGTCTGCTTTATATCTTCACTAACATCTAGAAATTTACAATGAGGGTCGGTTGAAAACAAAACTTTACGACAAAAGAGATGATTTCAGCTTCCCAATTGTGATCTTTCCATTTCTATGTAGCAACATTCCAGCAGCGCCTGCATACGGAGTACATTTCCCCAGATGATACGATATTCCAGGGCTTGTGTTTCTATCAAGATTTCCTTGATAGAGGGTTGCTGCTCACAAGTAAAAATCTTTCAATATTCACCTTATCATTTTTATCGAGACTATGTCGGTTATGCAGTACATTTTTTTAAATAAGTAGTACCTCGGGACTTTTCTTAATCCCAATCAATGAATTTTCAATCGGCAGACCTCGGCAGCTTCCCCTACCCTAGATATTTTAGATTTTTATGTCAACACAAACAACACGTGAGAAGGATGGCGGAAGACGTCAACGAACAATCATCTCTGTTAAAACCACAGAAAAAGATATTGAAACAACAGGTCTTGCTTTTTTAAAGTAGCAAAAAATCTGTTTTCATGGAAAACTGAATATAATTTGGTTTCCTCCACCATACTTTCGGTTTCGCATTCAAATTATGAATTAATGAGTCACAATATTTTTGTCAGTTTTTGTTTTCTTTTCCTCTAGCTACTTAAAAGCGGGAAACAAAGATTTATATCAAATCTAAGAAATAAACTGACAAAAAATATGAAAATGTATGATACAAGGAAACAAATGTATACTTCTTGCATGGATATCTTCATTGAATCTAGACTAGAGTTTGAACGTGTTCAGAGAAAATGTCATTGATTGGAAAACGATGCACAGAATACATTGAACTTTCTGAAATAGGTTGTGCTCTCAAAAATAACAATACAACATCTTACGGTTCAACACAATTGGTGGAAGATTCGGTAAACTTTTTGGTAATATGAAATATATCGTGCTTGCTTTCAATGGGCTTCATGGTTATAAATTACAAAGATAAGATAAAATGTGTATAGTAGTCTCAGATTAGAGGCAACTTTATGATAACATTAAAAAAACATATTAAAAATAAAACACAATTTTTTAATGCCATAAAAAATTAAATATTTTGTCAGTCAGAAAATCAAATTAAGAGACACCTCCAAAAAAAGAAGTTTCATAAAGACAAAACAGTTTGCATTTGTTATATTTTTATATATGTTGAAATTATATGCCCGACTTGCCTGACTCATACATTTGTCAGACCGAACAAGCAATTTTTTGTGTCTGTTGCCCGTGGACAAGTAAAAAAAAGAGTTGCTTGACAATGATAATTTATATAATCATATAGAAAAATCCTCAAAATTTATTCATCAAAGTAGAAAATATATCAAATAACAAAACAAAAGCCACATGTTTAAGTAAAACAACATCAATGATCAAGAAATAGATCGATGATCAAACAACAAAAAATAAGTATGTGGACCAGGGTTTCATTAATATTTTGCGATTTTTTTCCCATTGATCCGGGATTGTCTATCAGGTTATAGCAACAATACATAGGAAATGGTCATTTTTTAATTTTGAGCTCTGATTTCTAGAGAATGAAAACTAAATTATCAGTCGAGTTGAATAAGCATCTTTCAGATAGGTCATTGGTCGGAAGTTGACCAATGTAGAAGAGGCGTCTAATAAAAAATAAAGTTTTAGAGCCAAAAACTTGATTTTGACAAGAAACAGAAATCAGAAGCAAAAAAGGACAAATAGTATGGAAATAAACGGAATAGAGGATTTTAAAGTTCTATAATGTTTAGATTTCACTTAGTTATCTAAAAAATCTCAAATTTACAATTGGCCTACCAAAAATAAAAATCTCAAATTTACAATCAGTCAGGGGTACTACTTGTACAAGTAATCTTTATTTACTTGAAGAAGTAAAAAAAATATACTTATATAAGTTAATTATAATGTTTGAATAATCTCCCCTTAATTTTCTCAAAAATTCACTTGTATAAGTAAATTTTTTTTACAATCCCACAAAAATTCTCAAGTTTTGAGATGTAAAAACATGCCTTTAATAATTTTTCCCAGGTTAGCTCATAATTTTTTATTAGAGTTCAGTGTTTCATCTCATTAATTCAACAAAGAAACTGATTGCACAAAGATCGCAAGGCCTTCAAAAATTGCTCCTTGGGGGCTTGTAAATGAGCAGTGTTCTGAAGATAACAGACAAATGAGATTTTCATTGTCCATGAAATTACACTTAAATGCTTAGTTAAGACATCTGCAAAGGACAGACAATTTAAAATTCTATTAGAGCAAAGAAGTCCTAAGAATTCAAGAAAAGAAGATAGGATGTCTTTTTCACTTATATAAGTAAAGAAATCTGAATGTCTAAGGGACATAACTAAGCCAGTTTTTTTTTTACCTATACAAGTAAATAAAATACACTTGTATAAGTATCCTACAAATTTACTTATATAAGTATATTAATATTACTTCTTCAAGTAAATAAAAATTACTTGTACAAGTAGTACC